CCTGGCAGAGCTCTGGAGCTCAATCAGTGAGGATGAGCATCTTCTACAGGCAGATGTGACTACAAGGTGAACAACAAAGGTGTCACTGAGTGAACAACTTGGCTGAAACGTGAAATTTTCTTGCAGGCAAAAGGAATCGCTCCCACGTGACACTTGCCTTTTGCCCGAGCTGCTGGATAACCTTCTTGCAGGGGTTAAACTCCAGCTCTGAGAGGAGCTGCTTCACCTTCTTGCAGATCATGTTGACAAATCCCACTCGAGAGCCAGGAACCTACAAGGAGAGGAGAAATGAAGCAAGAGGGACTGTTGACTGTTGTAAACGAAGATTGAATCTTCTTCCAGAGGGTCACACCCTGGGAAGGGGGTGGCTGGCAGCTGGTGGCAGGAGCAGGTTGTTAACCCCTGCAAAACAGTCTAAAAGCAGTAGGGTGAACTGGAAGAATGGAAGTGTATAAATTCCCGGGTGAAGAACGAACAATTTCTTACTGCCTCTTCTGAAAGAAGGGGCAGCAAATTAAATCAGACAAGGGCACGTGGATAAACTGTGGGTGTCCCTGCTGCAGGAGGCTGTGAGTGCCAGAATGGCCTTGCTTCACACCACAAATATCTGTATGATCACACAGCTCTTAGTCCCTGAAACCTAACCTCTGGCTTGAGAAGCCGCAGCTCTCTGGACGCCAGGAGACAGTGTTAAGGAAAATATTGCTGTGTGTTTGCCGTGCTTTTGGCATCTGTTCTGATGTCAGATGAACAGGGGCTAGCTGGTCCTTCAGCCTGAACCGGTCCAGCTGAGCATGCGTGATGTGTCACCATTGGAAGCAATGACAGTTTTTGGCCCCTCCTTTGGTAACCACAGGGTTACAGCATCTCTGGGGTGTGGTGATACCCATGCAGTCACAGCTCTGTGGACACACAGAGGGGTGTGGGCCATGGGGAAGGAAGCCTTCATGGATCCCGGATCCAGCTGATCCTTCCGCCCTCCCTCAGCTGCAGCCTCCAGCCCTGCCAGGCAGTGGAGGAGGTGCAGGGGCAGGATCCATCCTCGTTGCCAGCACCCAAAGTCCAGCCCCCTTTGCTGCAGCCTGTGGGCAGCCCTATGGTCAGAACAGCAGAAAAACACTGCTGGCTCATTTGGCAAGGACACGTTGTGGTTTAACCCGGCAGGCAGCTGAACACTGCATAGCCGCTCGGTCACACACCTCCCCCCCTTCGGTGGGGTGGGGGAGAGAATCGGAAGGGGGAAAAAAAAAAAAGGTAAAACCTGTGGGTTGAGATAAAGACAGTTTAATAAAACAGTAGAGGGGGAAAAAAAGGAATAATAACAGAATATACAAAACAAGTGATGCTCAATGCAATTGCTCACCACCCTCTGACCAATACCCAGCCCATCCCGAGCAGCAATTGCTCTCCCCAGCCAGCTCCCCCCGAGCATGACATCATATGGTCTGGAATATCCTTTTGGCCAGTTTGGGTCAGCTGTCCTGGCTGTGTCCCCTCCCAGCTCCTTGCGCACCTGGCAGAGCACAGGAAGCTGAAAAGTCCTTGGCTAGTGGAAGCACTGCTTAGCAACAACTAAAACATCCCTGTGTTATCAACATTCTTCCCATACTAAATCCAAAACACAGCGCTATGCCAGCTACTAGGAAGAAAATTAACTCTAGCCCAGCTGAAACCAGGACAGTCCCAAAGGGACATCAGGGCATCCCTCACCCCAGAAGCCAGCAGTTGGCCCCCCCCGGTCCCCCGAGGCCCAGGGGAGCAAGGCCTCATTCTTTTTACGTCCCTTAGGAAGTCCCAGGCACATCCTCCTGGTCAGGGTGTCCCCAGTCACCACCCTGTGCTGGAGGCCCCCTGTCCCATCTCTGCTGGCAGCCGGATGACAGCAGAGACCTGCTGTATTTTGGGGTTTCCCATGCTCTGGGTTAGCCTCCTGGAGCTGATCAGCCCCAGCAGAGATCCAAGCCTTGCCACAGTCCTGCCTGATGCCTCAATCCCATTTATTCATCCCCATACATTTGGCTGGGAGAGGGGAGAAGGGGGTGTCTCTGGCAGCAGCTCCTGGAGGCACAGGTGCTCCAGGCATAAAGCTCATATTTTTTTTTCTTCCCTTTGACAAGATGAACTGCAGAAATTGAAAATTATTCCTGCTTGAGAGATTTTAGGCAGGGTTTAAACCAGGGGGAAGAGGGTTGAAGAAGTAATTTTCTCTTCCACCAGAACTAGTTTTTAACTTCTGCTTCTCTGAAGTTCACCACCTTTCTTGTTCTCTTGTTAAAAGACTTCAGGTGCACCTGGTTTTACCGCCTGCAGGGAAACAGTCCCATTTCAGCATCGTGCTGCCATGAGGTAAGATCAGTGCAGCTGAGGCAAGCGTGAAGCCTCCAGCATGAGAAAGAAGGAAGGAAGAGATAGGGATCGCAGCAGCTGCTCTCATCAACCTTGAGCTGCTTCCATCCTGCCGGCTCGCTGCAAGGGAACCCCCAACCAGCTCCGCTCCCCT